TAATTTAATAAGAGCAAGGATCATTCCTTTCTCTTTTTCTGTCATTTGGGTTCGTGGCATTATCAAAAGAATGTTGGTTTTTTTTTTTGAACTAGGTATTTAGACGTCAAAAAAGCAAAAAAAAAAAAAATTTGCCCCAAATTACGTAAGAATGGGGTAAACACAGCCGTTTTATTTGCTCATATGAGATGATCTGCAAATCGGGCGTTACTTTTGGTGGCTACTATATGTACGTACGTACGTACATTGTTGGGATCTGAATGGGACCTGAGCCAAAACCACAGCTCATTATTATTATTATTATTTCTATTTTTATTTAATTTAATTTATATGGATGTCCATTTTTATAGATATGTGGGGCTTTTATTACTGGATTAGGAATTTACTCGGCAAATTATAACGTATACGTTACAGGCTATGTGACAGTTTTGCTGAGAGAAATTAAAACGTATACAAGATAACATATAGAACGTATACGTGATAATGGTAAAACGTATACACTATAGTAATAGAACGTATACGTTGTAAGGCTAAGAAAAAGAAGAGAATAACGAAAATATTCTCTATCGAGATAAATGTATAAATATAGGCCTTCTTGGCCTTCTTAAAATGATTAGTTCTCGATTAGTTAATAATTATAATACCCTGCCTTACTATTTGTTGTTTATGCCTACCTTTATTATAATTTCCCACGAGATCATATCATGACCAGAAATCTTCCATGGGAAGATTCCTGGTCACAAATAATCACACGAAAAATTATAATAAAAGTAGGCATGAACAACATAAAGCAGAGTATTATTTATGAATTTCCTGTGAGGAGTTAAAAATCACAATAGAGATTCTGATAATCATATGATGCAGACGGCCCTTCGGGCCATTTGTATCCTATGTTTATCGAGAATCTCTGTTGTAATTTTTAAGCTTCCAGGAAATTAATAATATGAATTCCTAAAACCCCTAATCCCTAGAATTGTATTCCGTATATCTTAAAGAAATTAATAAAGAATTTCTTTCGCTTATTAATAATCGATTTCTCATGACGTTTATTAAAGTATTGTATGAAGGATATGCTGGGTATCTTAATTAACATAAAGGAAGTAAGCATTAAGGCCGAAGAGACCTTTTCCTGAGTAATTAGAATCCGTATTCTTGCTAAATTAGAATTGTTTACTAACAACTGGTATAGAGTCTATATTGAGAAAGCAGATAGTGAAGTATTGAAATTTTGTTTAACGATTTAGTATCAATTTACTATATTTGGAAGTGACTATTGTTTAAGTCACAGTATTTAATGTTTAAGGAACTGTATTACCTTGATTGAATCGTTTATAATCATCCCAGTTCTTAATTATATCAATCTACCTGATTCTCCTCTTTTATATCACCCCTCAATTAATCATCTCTATCCTGATCCACCCTTATAATATCACTCCTGTCTGATTAAACTGCCATTTACCTTCTTATAAATATATTAACATCCCACATAGCTTATACTATCCATAACCACTAGTAAATTAGATTAGTATAATCTGTACCACATTAACTATTGGAGCTAAACTTCACTACATTATTTACTCTCCTGATCTATAATAGTAACATTTGGTGCTATTTGTGTGGAATTCTGAACTATTTTCCATTAAAGAAGAATATATATATATATCTTTTAAAAAATAAAAATTAAAAAATAAAAAATAAAAAAAGAAAATAATAATTAAGTATAAAATGGCTCAACCACCACCACCACCAAACTCACTACCTCCCCAAAACCCACCACATCTAAATCTAATACATAATTTGGCATATAAAATGGCTCAACCACCACCACCACCAAACCCACTACCTCTCCAAAACCTGCCACATCTAAATCTGATGCATAATTTGGCGAATCAAATCACCTAACTGGTCCAACAGATGCAAATTGGGCAACTTCCGCAAGTGAACTTACCTATCGTTTACCGAGAACTTAATCTAGTATTATACCCTGAATACATAGGAAAAGAACAAGACCCTATTTCATGGCTTGAGGATATTGAAAAAGCCTTTGAAGCAAATCATATAGCTGATGCACGTAAAATTCTCATGATCACTCCTAAATTAAAGTGATTGGCTTCTACTTGGTGGGTAATGATGAGTAACCAGGTCCTACTGATCGATTATTGGAATGATAATACAAATCTTTCACAAAGTTTTAAAGCTAATTTCATTACAAAGTTCTGGACCCCTGAGTTAGAAGGGAAGTAGTTTGCCTAGCTTATGCAAAGAAAACAATTTCCTGGAGAAAGTGTTAATACATATCACATAGCTGTAGAGGAGATAATTCGTCGAGTTGAAGCCGGAGGTCACCAATATCCTGACTCCGCGAAAGCCCAGATGTTTTAAAATAGGTTATGATCTGAATTGTTTATAGCAGTCTCTCTGTTCACCCCAAACACCTTACAAGCTACATACAAGAGAGCAAAAGCATTTGAAAATGCTTATAAGCAAAACCCCACCTATGCTGCTTTTTTAAGACAAATCCTAGATATTCTTTTCAAGTAGTACAACAATTAAATATGCCAATTCAAGCCTCAGGATAAACTTCGAATAGAACTGAAGTCACATTGAATAAATTAACTGAGGCTGTAAATAAAATGATCCAAATACAGAATCAATGACATCCCCAAAGACCATATTAGCCTGGTCCTAGAAATTCTATAGTTTGTTACAATTGTAGCCATCCTGGAAACATTAGTAGGAATTGGAATACCCCTTATCGTAATGAATCTCTAGTTCCTGTTAATCCACCTGTGAATATTCCAAATGATACGAACTTTCAAGAAATGCTGTTAGCATTAATGAATATACTATAACAGAATAATTAAACTAAAAATACAGAAGAACACATTCTTACCTTGGAATTAGGGAAGAAGATACTTCTATTTTTGCCCCTGCAGAGATAGAAATAAGAAAAATAACCCAATCAAAACTCACACAAAGAAACGAAAAATAGATGAAGAAAACACAGTATTAATAGAGGTGAAAACTCAAGAAGCAAGGACAATAAAAAAGAATTATAACTGACCTTAATTTATAATAACCTGCCAGAAGGGAAGAAAATTATAAAGAGAGTCATGCCTATTAGAAAGAAGAAATTAGAGGATGATACTCCCAAATATCCTCCCTAGTTGCCTCATATTCAATCATAGCAGAGATTAGAGATAAACCAGCCAATATAACTTTCGGGCAGTTGTTTAAGGCTACTCCTTCATGAGATCTAATTTAATCTAATTCATACAAAAGAAGAAGATAATAGTTAGACAAAAAGCTAGAGCCAACATAAATCTACAAAATAACCCCAAATTAACTACCCTCTATTGCAATACCCAAGTTCAAGGAAAAGTTATACCATTAATCATTAATTCTGGATCCTTAAGAAGCATTATATCATCCTACTTGTTAAAAGAGTTAGAAGTAAAAATCGATCAACCCTCTATAGTAAATATGATAAATGTTTACGGTGAAAATAAAAGGGCCATTAGAGAAATTTCAGATTTTCTCTTTATTGTTGGAGGAATGAAAATCCCCATAGATATCGTAGTAACTAATGCAAGCTTCTATAATGCACTTGTAGAATATGATTGGTTATCACAGGTTAATGCTCTGATCGATTGGAACGTCTCTGAGATGACTTTTACCTAGGAGGGTAAAGAAGTTACAATACCAGTAGAATTCTGAAAAATAATCCTGAAATTGCTTGAAACTGAGAGGCCTACAAAAACAAGTGAAAAGAAAGAAGATGAGTATGAGAAAATTGAAGAAGATAATGAAGAAGAAGAGAAAGATAAGGAAGAAGAATTTGAAGAAAAAAAATTAAAGAAACAGATTCGCAGACTTTCTGAATTAGAAGATATTGATGAATCTTTTAATGAAGATAAAGGTTATGAGAACCTTAATCCAAATAACCTAGGAACCGGAGAAGCTTAGTAAAACTTAAATAGCGATGATGATTATGTAGAAGAAGTAAGTTATAATTGAAATCAAGAAGAAGAATTTATTAATGATAATAAAGGATGGACAAATGAAAGAAATATGGGAGAAGAACACTTTGAAGATTTTCTAGAATCGATCTCAAAAATCTTACCTGTAGATATATACAACGAAATCAGTAATCACTTTGATTTTTACTTTGATGAAGAGACTAACCTAGTAATAAAATATAATGTCGATAGCCTCTCAGAAACTCAGAGGGAACAAGTACTATCAATCCTTGTTAGGAACGCAACCCACTTCACAAAGAACCTATCTGAGCTTGGATGAACCAACAGTTGTCAACACCGAATAATTACCGGAGATGCTCTACTCATCAAACAACGGCCGTATCAACATTCCCTATTAGAAAAGAAATTTTTAACTGACAAGATTAATGTAATAGAAAGGAGAAAATAATAAGGAAGTCCTTTAGCTCATGGTCTTTGCTAGTGGTTCTAGTGAAACAAGAGAAAAGAAAAACTAGAATCTGCATAGATTATAGAAAAGTAAATGCAATAACAAAGAAAGATAATTATTCTTTACTGAGAATCAATGATCTTCTAGATGCCTTAAAAAGATCCTCTTGGTATATATAATTAGATCTTGCTAGTGAATACTAGCAGGTCAAAATGTATGAGGAAGACAGAAAAAACAGCCTTCGTCACAACTGATAGGATCTATGAATTCAACGTAATGCCCTTCGGGTTAGCCAATGTATTTGCAATATTCTAGCATCTGATGAATAAAATTATCCAAGATATTATTAGAAAATTTGTTATAATATATTTAGACGACATTAATATTTATTCTAAAAATTTTAAGGACTACCTTGTTCACCTTCAAGAAGTATTCAGATAATTACAGGAGGCCGGTCTAAACTTAAACCCGCAAAAGTGTTTCTTTGGAAAACAAGAATTAAAATTCTTGGGGTATATAGTAAACGCAGTAGGAATTGCAACAGACCCAAGAAAGTAAAGGCTATTAAAGAATTTTTAATACCAAGAAATGTAAAGCAACTTTGTGGATTTCTAGGATTGGCCTCCTACTATCGAAGATTCATCCCCAGATTCATCAAGATAGCCACACCACTAAACTAGCTACTAAAGAAGAATATCTACTATAAGTAGACAAAAGAGCAACAAAACGCCTTTAAAGAATTAAAAAGAAGACTTATCTCAGCACCAATATTAGTCTACTCTGACAAAACTAAGACCTTTCTATTATTTACTGATGCATCTGATTTAGCCTTAGGGCTATACTCTCTCAATTAGATTCAGAAGAAAGAGAACAAGTCATATCATATGCAAGTTAAAGTCTATCACTGGCAGAAAAAAATTACTCTGTACCTGAGAAGGAGTGTTTGGCAGTTGTATGGGCTGTCTCTCATTACCACCAATATCTCCATGGAGTGCTTTTAATTTATACACTGATCATGTCGCTTTAAAATCCCTTTTCTTACATAAACTACCCCAGAATAGATTAGCCAAATGGATTTTAATCTTACAAAAGTATTCATTTATAACTATCTACAAGCCTGGAAAAGTATATCAGAATGTCGATAATATTTCTCGTATCTGAATAATAATAATAATAATAATAATAAAATTAAAAAAATTTGAATAGATCATATTAAAAAAAAAAAAAAAAAAAAATTATTTTAAACTATCCATAATGGATTTAGAAATTTACTATTTATACTTACAATATGTTAATAACACAATAGTATCATCAAACTATGATAAAATGATGGTTAAAAACTTGAAACACCGAACTCGACATTATTTAGTTCGCAAAGGATTACTATATAAGAAAAATTTGCGAAACTTAACAAAACCTCAAAGAGTTCTCAAATATAGTGAAATAGAGCCTATTTTATTCTACATACACTCTGATCCACTATCAGCACATTTTAATGACACCTCTATTTACTAAAGAGTTTCAGTCTAATACTTTTGGTCTCAGATGGGAGAAGACATAAAGGCCTATGTAAAATCTTGCGATTCTTGCCAAAGATGTAGATGACCCAAAACCAGAGAACCATTACATCTGATCCGAATAGGCCAACCCTTCGATTGGGTTGGAATAGATATAGTAGGACTGTTATCTATTACTAAAAAGGGTAATAAGTACATTGTTGTTGCTACCAAATATTTAATGAGATGGCCTGAAGCCCATGGTTTTTAGAAGGCTAATGCTCTATTGATAGCTGATTTCATATTCAATGACATCATATATCAGCATAGAAGTCCAAAAGAGCTACTTTCTAACCAAGGCTCCCAATTTTTTAATAAGGTCGTAGATGCACTTTGTAGCTGACTAGGAGTTAAACACTGTTTATTCACTACCTACTACTCTCAGCCTAATGAGTTGATAGAAAGGTTTAATTGCATCCTTTGTGAAGTCCTTGCAAAGTGTTTGAGTCAATTCAGGAATGAGTGGAATAATTATATTCCTGCTGCTCTTCTTGCATATTGGACTACCCAACATAGATATGAAACTTTTTATTTAGCCTATGGAAGGGACACTGTGTTATCAATAGAGACTATCTTATCTACTTATCCTGTTGAAATTACTACTAAAGAAAACTTACAAAATAATATATTAAGAAGTGTTAAAATATTATTAGAAGATTTAACCGAAGCTTGTTAACAAGCAAAGAAGAAACTCAAGGGGCGCAAAAAAACAACAAACTTATTATAATCACAAACATACTCAGAAAGCTATAACATAGATGATCTAGTACTCTTGTATAAGTCTAAAGAAGCTAGGACCCATAGTTCAAAACTCGACGAAAAATAGACCAGACCTCATTATTTATATGAGGCTTATGGAAATGGCGTATATAAATTAAGAACTATAGATGATAAGGTATACCAAAAGCCAGTACACAGGAACTGATTGAAGCAATACATACACTAAAAAAAAAAAAAATAAAAAAAAATAAATATTTTATTTATATATACTCTTATTCGATTTTAAATTTTTATTTTTATTTTTTAAACTTGGTCAAAATAGATAATTTATCCCTTTTTGAGAATATTAGAAAAACTATAGTTACTCTTTAACGACAATTGTGAAATGAAGAAATATCTAGAACGTTCAGCATTTTGTCAGAAAAAGTTATATATAATAAACCCAACCCAATAAAATTAATGTTGTAGCTCCTCGAAGATTGATGGATGCTTAAAGAATCTATTTAAAAATGCGAAAATTTCTTGAAGATTTACAAAGAAGAGGAGAAACAATGCTACAATTAGAAGAAGCTATAGGAAACACATGCCCAAAACAAATAAGATTTCTTTGTGAAAGTCTTGGTCAAACTGATTTAAACCTGAATATCTTATTACAATATTATTATCTGTTGGGAGAAAAGTCAAATACAGAATGTTGAGAATCTGAGATCCAAAGGAAATTCCCAACAAAGTTTCAGAATGTACAAAAAGTGGCCCAATGGATATTTAATTTATATACTTGTAGGGGTCTTTCTAATCTTCTAGTAACCCAAACTATCACTTTTAATGCTCTAGCAAAAATGTATAACAAGAACTTTAACTTGTTACTTCTAGAAGCTAGAACTCAACAATTTCAAGAGAATGCAAAATTAATTTACTTGTTTGATACTTTCACAGGGGCTCAAGTGTAAGAGAGAGAATATGTTGGGATCTGAATGAGATCTGAGCCAAAACCATGGCTCACTATTATTATTATTATTTCTATTTTTATTTAATTTAATTTATATAGATATCTATTTTTATAGATATATGGGGCTTGTATTACCAGATTAGAAATTTACTCAGCAAATTATAACATATATGTTACAGGCTATGTGACAGTTTTGCTAGAGAAATTAAAATGTATACACAATAATATATAGAACATATATGTGATAATAGTAAAACGTATACATGATAATAATAGAATGTATATATTGTAAAGCTAAGAAAAAGAAGAAAATAACGAAAATATTCTCTATAGAAATAAATATATAAATATAGACCTTCCTGGCCTTCTCAAAATAATTAGTTCTCGATTAGTTAATAATTAGAATTCCTAAAACCCTAATCTCTCGAATTGTATTCCGTATATCTTAAAAAAATTAATAAAGAATTTCTTTCACTTATTAATAATCGATTTCATGTAATATTTATTAAAGTATTGTATAAAGGATACACTGGGTATCTTAATTAACATAAAGGAAGTAAGCATTAAGGCCGAAGAGACCTTTCCCTGAGTAATTAGGATCTGTATCCTCACTGAATTAGAATTGTTTACTAACAACTAGTATAGAGTCTACATTGAGAAAGCAGATAGTGAAGTATTGAAATTTTGTTTAATGATTTAGTATCGATTTACTATATTTGGAAGTGGCTATTGTTTAAGTTACAGTATTTAATGTTTAAAGAACTGTATTACCTTAATTGAATCGTTTATAATCATCTCGGTTCTTAATTATATCAATCCACCTAATTCTCTCCTTTTATATCACCTCTCAATTAATTATCCCTATTCTGATCCACCCTTATAATATTACCCCTGTCCAATTAAACTGCTATTTACCTTCTTATAAATATATTAACATCCCACATAGCTTGTACTATCCATAATCACTAGTAAATTAGATTAGTATAACCTATACCATGTTAACTATTAGAGCTAAACTTCGCTACATTATTTACTCTCCCGATCTACAATAGTAACAACATATGGCGTAACAGGATAGGAGAAATGATGATTTGATGTTATACAAATATTTTGTACTATGCTATACAGTAAAAAAAAGGACCAAAATATCTTATTATAATATTGCTATTATTCAATATATTCTGTAAACAAGTATACATTATTGGGCAAAAATTTGTGAATAACAGTATTGACTCTGAAATTGGTAAGTTTGTCCCTTGAGTGTGGTTGGCTTTATGTAACCAAAGTTTTGATTAAGTAGTGTCAAAAGGAGGCATGTTAGATTTGGCAAGTGGTTACTGACTAAGTGTGGTTTATACAAAGTATTACTTAGATAGTAAAAGCATATTGATAACTAGGTATATCTATGATGATAATGACTTAGTGGTCAATCGAGTTTATTGTGTAGGAAGTGTATATATTTAACTAGGAACAGACTTATCCCTTAATATGTAGACCAACGCAGGCAAATTTGCCTGTGTTTTTGCACTTTTTTAGCTCTGATTTACTTTTTT